AGCTAACCCGCGTTATCTCTGAGATGTGCCTGCACTTTCAGGAGGCCTCCATGCTGAGGACCCCAGGGTGCAGTGGGTGTGGTTGGGCTCCTGAAGCTGAACTGGTAGGCGGAGGGGTTGGTGAGGAAGCTGCCTTCCCCCAGGCCCTTCCGTGGAGGAGCGGAGCAGGGGTGGCGGGAACCTCCAGCAGGGGCAGCAGTTGCCTGGAAGGGGTGACTCCCTGACCGCCGCTCTGATTGGGACTAGCTTTCCCTGGGGTTCCCTTTGGAGCGCCCAGAACCGTAACCCCACTGCCACCACTTTTTCTGTTGCAGGGGGGCTGCTGAGTGCAGAAGGGGTTGCTCTGCGAGGGGGAGAGGATGATCAACTAAGTGTCGCGGAGTTGGCCACCTTCCCAGGACTGTCTGAGTCGGACAGCATGCCCCGCAGCCCCCGGGAAGAGGAGGAGGAGGAGGAAGGGGAGGAAGAGGAGGAGAGTGCTGGAGAGAACCGGCTGGATGGGGACGAGGAGCAGCCGCCCCCTCCAGTGCTTCCCTGGAGGCGACACCTCTCCATGGGGAGTCGGCACCCCGAAGACAAGCCAGCCCACCGCCGCTTCCGCCGGCTCCACCACCCCATGGCCGTGGACCTCGGGGAGCTCGACAGCCTGGTGGCCAGCATCATGGACGCGCCCACCATCTGCCCGGACTGCGGGGAGAGCTTCAGCCCGGGCACCGCCTTCCTGCAGCACCAGCGCATCCACCGCCTGGCCGCGGCCGCCGCGGGCCTCCAGCCCTTTGACTTCGCCGGCGAGTGCGGCGCGGTGGTGGGCGTGGCGGGGGGCTGCGGGGCGGGGCCCGCGCTGGCCCGGCCCCCCAGCGAGAAGCCCTTCCGCTGCGGCGAGTGCGGCAAGGGCTTCAGCCGCAACACGTACCTCACCAACCACCTGCGCCTGCACACGGGCGAGCGGCCCAACCTGTGCGCCGACTGCGGCAAGAGCTTCAGCTGGCGCGCCGACCTGCTCAAGCACCGGCGCCTGCACACGGGCGAGAAGCCCTACCCGTGCCCCGAGTGCGGCGAGGCCTTCAGCCTCAGCTCGCACCTGCTGAGCCACCGGCGCGCGCACGCGGCCGCCGGCCAGGCCGGCCCGGCGGCGCTGCGCCCCTTCGCCTGCGGGGAGTGCGGCAAGGGCTTCGTGCGCCGCTCGCACCTGGCCAACCAC